GAGAGTCCAGGGTTGAAGCCTCTGCAGCAGGAAGATGGGGGTTCTTGAGACTCATGAAGACCTGGGGTCTGAGGAGCAGGACAGGGGCCTCCAGAGGGCTGTGGGCAATGTCCCCCATGGCTAGATCCATCTTCAGGTCCCTTTTACTCTTTGAGGAGCACAGCTCAGCTGCCAGGCCTTGAGTCCTTTCTCACCCCAGGCACAGCCCTGTGCGTCTGAGCTGAGTGAACACTCACCCAAACCAGGCCCCAGACAGAGTTGGAGGAGTGGCCGGCCCCGGGGTCCTCAGGGGACTGAGGAAGGGAACAATGGTGCTAATTCCTTCCTGGGTGCACTGAGTCAGCCCCTCCACCCCACCTCATCTCTATTGCCTTGTGTGTGCTCCTTCTGGTAGAGGAAGGGTCAGCCTCCCTGTGCAAGCCCCAGGGGCTTCAGAGATGAAAGGGACTAATCAAACTCAGGAACACCCACCCACAGCTCCTCTGTGCTGGGTGCCTTATTTCATTACATCTTCCTGCTCTCCTGCCAGGGAGCAAATCTGGTCCCCCATTTTGCAGATGGAGAGAAGGAGCACCTGGCTGGAGCAGTTAGTGGTGAAGCCAGGACTTGATGCTGGGTTTCCCAGACCCCATCCCCCATCCTGTGTCGCCATCATCATCATCATCATCACCACGACCACCACCACCATCATCTGCATTCCACCTGCAAAGCCCAGTGAAGCCCTCAGCCCGGGGTTTCTGTTCCTACTGGTTATCACACTTGCCTCAACAGGGGTCTGGTGATGTAGGTACTATCGCCATCGTGTCCACTTTGCAGATGAGGAAACTGAGGTCCAAAACTGTCACTAGGAGGTGACAGAGCTGAGATCAAGAGCCACGTATTGCCACCCAAACACAAGGGCTTCGCCAGTGTGTTCTTTTCCCACAGTTGAGAAGGAGCCGAGTGGTGCAGACGGGCGGTGAGAGCTAAGGGGCTCAGAGGAGGCAGGGCTGTGGCTGGCGGTGCAGCCGGGGAAGATTCAGAGACCTGAATCTGGAGGGGCTGGGGCTGGGCCTGGGGGGCTGCGGGCAGACATGGGGGGATCTGGATCCGAGTTGAGCAAAGGGAGCCCAAAGCCAGAGGCTGGGGACCAGGGTGAGCCGGGGACCTGGAGCCAACCGGACCTGAGTGGGAGCCGCTTCTGCTGTGTGACCCCCATTTTCATCCCCACTCCCCAACCCCCAGCCTGTGATTTTTCAGCTGAGAAGAGAAATAATAACCCTGTTTGTTGCTGTGGTTGGTGCTTAATAAATACTTGTTAAATAAACAAAGGGTTGCAGTGACGCTTCAGTGAGACAGACCAGGCAGTGCCTGGCAGGGAGCTGACACTTCCAGAGGGTTCCTTCCCCGAGAGCAGCCACAGAGCAGGACAACAGGTTCAGCTGGCCACAGGGCTGAGCAGTGTGACCTCGGGCAAGTCACTTCACCTCCCCTATTGTCCCATCCAGTGACCATGACATGCATCAAGGCCCTGCAGTCTGGCTTGGTGTCCCTACGTGTGGCCTTCTGCCCCTTTTCCTGCCTTCTAGAAAGCCTGCATGGCCCCGGTCTTAGGAAGGGCTGCTCCTGTGGGCTAGAGGCCAGGGTGACATGCCCCTGCAGCCACTAGTGATTTTCCCATGAGTGGGGCAGGTGCACCCAGGGAGATTTGACCTCACAGCCTGCCAGGGTTGCTGGAGTCCACTGGGGCTGCTGTCACTTTATCAGCTTTTCTTGTATGAAGGGTGTTATGGGCAAGGAGGGGGCATTTGGTGTCACCAAATCAGAAGGAAAACATAGTGACAGGCATGGGGTCTTTTCCTGCCTCCTCTGGACCCCTGGCAGGCAGGGCCTCCAGCCCCACTCAGGGAGGAGCAGGTTAGCAATGGTGCCAGCAAGTTGAGAGCCCTGCTGGTCACATTCACTATCTCCTTGAGGCCGGAATGTCCTTGGCTAGCTGCTGCCTCCCTGTGCCACAGCCCTGCTCTTGGCCTCAGTTTCTCTAGTTATCCAGTGAAGTCTGGACTAGGGGCTCCAGATTTTGGACATTTACAGCACAGTAAAATTAAAGGAAAAAAAGAAAAAAGCTTGGTAACTGGCACAGCATTGCCAATCCTTCACTTTGCCAAGAAAGGACATTAAGTTTTTAAAGGCAGCCAGCATCTCCCATCCGTATCATTTCCCCAAAGAAAGAATGTTTACCATGAAAGGAGTCTCAGGATGCGCTCAGAATCCCGGATAGTCCCGCAGAGGAAACTGGCCAGGAAGGGGAAGGTCTCGTCCAAGGTCACCCCGAGAGGCAGTGAGAGGGGCCGGGCCTCCCAGAGCCCCTGCCGGAGGAAGTATGCCGAAACCGTGTTCTTCTATGTGTTCGTTTCATGGCACACTTGTTGCAAGAGGATGAGACCGGCTCCCTGCCTTCCAGAAAAGTATGGTTTCATTGTAGACATGATCCAGGCACCAGTACAACCAGAGAATGCGCTCTCTCCGACAGAATATCTATATTCAGAGGAGGTGATACCCATCTTCTACCGTCTGTGCCCCATCTTTCCACACTTTGCCCTTGAGCCCTTGGGCCTTTGCCAGGAAGCCCCGCGTGACAAACAAGGGAAAGAAATCCTGGCTGTCTCCCCGTGGTTGTCACATGAAAGCACGATGCCAAGCTTCATACTTTTCACTTTCTGATCGGGCATTGTGTGGGTCAGGGCACGCGCTGAGGGGTGAGCCTCTCCTTCCTGCTGAAGGAGCGAGCAGTGACAGGAGTGTTCACTTATTTGGACAGGGCCCCCACCAACCGAGGGTCTTCAGGGGGACAAGCTCCGTGCAGGCTCCTCCGTGGTGGAGGGTGATGGGTCGGGGGGCAGCTTTCCCAAAGGCCCAGGAGTGAGCATTTGGGACTGTGGCTGAGCAGAGCAATGGGCAGAGGGCCCGGAATATCGCAGGGGCTTGAGAACACCGCTGTGACCAGGAGAGGAGACACATGGGTGCAGGACAAGCTGTGCCCTGCTGGGCTGAGATGTGAGGCTGGAGGGGATGGGGTGACGGGAAGGGAGGGTTGGGGGTGAGGGTGGAAGCTGGGGTGGGGGGTGTCGGGTGGGGACATGCAGAGCCTCGGTTTCAGTTTGGAGCCTGGGGCTGGGCTCATTCTGCCACTTGCCCTCAGGAACGGGAGAAGTAGGCAGTGCCGGTGAGGGAGGACCAGCAGCCCAGAGCATGCGGGGACCATCTCCCTTATGCTCACCCCGGGCCCTCCTGGAGAACACCATAAAGAGCCTTCTATGGCATGGGATGAACCCCCCAGGTCAGGGCCAGTCCCTGTGGGCAGACCCTGGGTTCACAGCTGGCCTTGGGTGAAGCCCTCATACTCTCTGGGCCTCAGTGTCATTTTTCAAAGGCCAGGTCACCACACTTTGTCCCTCTGCCTCTCTCCCTGGGGCCTGCGGGGGCCAAGCTGGTAGCCTCTCTTCTCTAGCCCCAGGCCCTATCCCAGGCACTCCAGGGAAGAGGCTCCTCCTTCCAGGAGTACCTTAACTTCCCAGGAGCTCTGGGGTGGGAATGTGGAGCCCCAGCTCAGGGCTGGCCCACCCTGCCTCGTTCGGGGACCCTTAGCACACCCGTCCCAGGTCTGTGCTTCCTGGGCCTCAGATACAAGCTGAGGGTCTTGAAATTGGTGATCTCTGGTTCCTCCCGGCTCTCGTTCCTTCTGTGGGGCTACTGGAGGCATCCGAGACTGTGGGGCAGAGAGGGAGATGTTTAGTGAAGGAAGACCTCCCTAAACACCAAAAGGGGCCCCTGACCCCCAATTCCTCAGAGCTACCACCTGGAGCCCTGGCTGTGAGGCCTTGGGCCCAGGGGGGGTGGTGGCAGACAGGGTCTGGGACTCCCGGCCAAACTGAGGACCCCTTAAGGGCCAGCACTGCACACCCCTAGTTTGTCTGTTAGATCTTCAGACCGATGGGTCTCACTGGTCCTATTTTCCGGATGAAGAAGCCGAGGCTCACGGCAGCCAAGTGACTTGCCCATGTTACGAGGTGGATGAAGGACTGCAGTGCAGGACTCTGGAGCCCAGGGAGCACAAGCCGGGGGAGGAAGGAACCGGGAAGGGGGAGGGGGAGGCGGGGGGCAGGGCTCACCCGCCAGGCCTGGCCCAGGGAGGGAGTCTCTCCCGGGAAGAGGCGCAGGCAGGCACCAGGCTGTTGATCTCTAAATTACAGCGTTGGCGCGCACCGGTTGCTGCGGCAACCGAGTTGTCCTGAACGGGGAAGTGTATAAACATTGCCACAGATGCACAATTAGATCAGGAAGAAGAATAGAACAGAAAATAGAAACTTCCAGCCTTATATAATTCTGGGCCAAAACGTTACCGGGCGCCCGGGCCCCAGCCCAGCCCCGCCAGCGGCTGGGGCCCCGGGCAGCACCCAGGGCCTCTCCCTCCCGGGCAGTGGTGGGGAGGGGGTGCGGGGAGGGCTGCCCCCCGTGGGCCCAGCTGGTGCTCCCGCCGCCCCCACTGAAACACAGCTGAGGAGGCTGACAGGCAAACCCTGCCTCTCGCCAGCTCCCTCCTGCTCTGGAGCCACGAAGGAAGGCAGGGGGGTGACTGGCTTTGACCAAGCACCTACTACCTCCTGGGTCCTGCGATGTAGGCTTTGAGCCCCCGATTTTACAGGTGAGGGGAAGTGAGTCTTCACAGGTGTCACAGCCAGGCAGCGGGTGTGCCTGCCTCCCGGCCTCCGCACGTGGGCCCACGGATGTTGACAGCACCTGGGGGCGGGGGGCACCGAAGGTTAGACACACCTGAGTTTGGATTCGCTCAACATCTAGCTGTGTGGCCTTGGGCAAGTCACTTCCCCTCTCTGAGCCCTGCTCCCTCACCTGTGACGTGTGACTAGCGATGCCTCCATTGGAGCCAACATGTGGGGGCTCCCCCTTCCTCCATCTCGACCACTTCCATTGGCGTCTTCACCCACTTCTGTTCCCAACAGGACCGGGGACAGGACGGGAACCCACATGGAGCTACGGGGCCCAGCACAGTCTCGTAGGACTTTCCACAATGATAGAAAAGTTCTGTATCAACTCCGTCGGGAGATGGGAGCCATTAGCCACAAGTGGCTACTGAGCGCTTAAAATGGGGAGAACTGAAGTTAAAATCGTATTTAATTTTAAGTAAACGCACAAAGCCGCAGGTGGCCGTTGGCCGCTCTGTCGGACAGCACGGGAGGACGGCCAGCCCCAGAGACAGCCAAGAGGGCAGCGGCTGAACCCAGGGAGGTGAGCAGGGGCCAGAGCGGTCACAGCTCCCTCCGCTCAGGGCAAGTGGGGCAGGTGGTGGAGCCGAGACGGGTACCGGGAGGCTCCCCAAACGGGGTGGGGGCCACGGAGGCTCAGAGGGGACAGCCGGTGGCCTCGGCTTCTGGCCCTTGGAGGCGCCGGCTGGGGCCCCCACGCTCCCTCCCCGTGGTGGGAAGCACCCCACCGGCCACATTCTGTCCCCAGCCCCAGGAGGTCCTGCGGCTTAGGCCCGGCCCTTCCCTTTCTGAGCCAGCATCTCACCTGTCGGGCTTCTCCTCCCCAGGCCCTGCGTCTTCCCAGGTGACCACGCCGGCTTCAGGACATGCACGGACACAGCCGCAACGGGCAGGCCCACGTGCCCCGGCGGAAACGCCGCAACCGCTTCGTCAAGAAGAACGGCCAATGCAACGTCTACTTCGCCAACCTGAGCAACAAGTCGCAGCGCTACATGGCGGACATCTTCACCACCTGCGTGGACACGCGCTGGCGCTACATGCTCATGATCTTCTCCGCGGCCTTCCTCGTCTCCTGGCTCTTCTTTGGCCTCCTCTTCTGGTGTATCGCCTTCTTCCACGGCGACCTGGAGGCCGGCCCGGCGGCGACGGCGGCAGCGGCGGCGGCGGGGGCCCCGACGGGCAGTGGCGCCGCAGCCCCGACGGCCCCCAAGCCCTGCATCATGCACGTGAACGGCTTCCTGGGCGCCTTCCTGTTCTCGGTGGAGACGCAGACGACCATCGGCTACGGGTTCCGGTGCGTGACGGAGGAGTGCCCGCTGGCGGTCATCGCCGTGGTGGTCCAGTCCATCGTGGGCTGCGTCATCGACTCCTTCATGATCGGCACCATAATGGCCAAGATGGCCCGGCCCAAGAAGCGGGCGCAGACGCTGCTGTTCAGCCACCATGCGGTCATCTCGGTGCGCGACGGCAAGCTCTGCCTGATGTGGCGCGTGGGCAACCTGCGCAAGAGCCACATCGTGGAGGCCCACGTGCGGGCCCAGCTCATCAAGCCCTACATGACCCAGGAGGGCGAGTACCTGCCGCTGGACCAGCGGGACCTCAACGTGGGCTACGACATCGGCCTGGACCGCATCTTCCTGGTGTCGCCCATCATCATCGTCCACGAGATCGACGAGGACAGCCCGCTCTATGGCATGGGCAAGGAGGAGCTGGAGTCGGAGGACTTTGAGATCGTGGTCATCCTCGAGGGCATGGTGGAGGCCACCGCCATGACCACCCAGGCCCGCAGCTCCTACCTGGCCAGCGAGATCCTGTGGGGCCACCGCTTCGAGCCCGTGGTCTTCGAGGAGAAGAGCCACTACAAGGTGGACTACTCGCGCTTCCACAAGACCTACGAGGTGGCTGGCACGCCCTGCTGCTCCGCCCGGGAGCTTCAGGAGAGCAAGATCACCGTGCTGCCTGCCCCGCCGCCCCCGCCCAGTGCCTTCTGCTACGAGAATGAGCTGGCCCTCATGAGCCAGGAGGAAGAGGAGATGGAGGAGGAGGCGGCAGCCGCTGCTGCCGTGGCCGCAGGCCTGGGCCTGGAGGCGGGCTCCAAGGAGGAGGCGGGCATCATCCGAATGCTGGAGTTTGGCAGCCACCTGGATCTGGAGCGCATGCAAGCCACCCTCCCTCTGGACAACATCTCCTACCGCAGGGAGTCTGCCATCTGACCTCCAGGCCCCGCCCTCGTCACTTCCCACAAGAGCCTCTGCCGGGGGGTGGGATGCCAGGACACCCTCTCCACACTCAGGACAGAGCTGACCCTGGCTCCATGGACCTCCTGGAGGGAGGTGGGGGCTTCAAAGACTGGGGAACCCCTTCCTATTGACTCCAGAGCCCAGGCCTGGGAAGGGCCCAGGATCCCCTCTGCCCTGTCAGCCTACCTACTGGCATCTCGGGGACCCCAGACCCACCACCCTTTTCCCACTGACACTTCAAGGACATGCCCCCTTTACTCTCAGAACCTTGGGGAAGGCGGCTGGACTGCTGGGGGGTGGGCATCATGGGGTTCTGGGGTGGGCAGGGGTTAGTGTGGGGGGAGGGAGGGCGGGGGTGCGTTTCTTTTGCATGACTGTGACCTGTTGCTCTTGACTTTCTTTTGTAAATATCTATAAATGGAGAGATGGAGGCACCAAATCCACCTTCTGCCATTTGTACCTGCAGGATGAGGAGGTGCGGTCCCTCTCTGTGAACCCCTCCCCCTCCTGGCCCAGTGAGCTTAGCCCCTCCCCCCTCCCCCCCCACCTGGCTGGTCCCCAAAGCCAGCCATCCCGGCCCCTGGATGGTGTTGGGTTTGGGTGCAGAGGTGGGGCCCCAAGGGGCAGGACGAGGACCATCCCCTCCCTGTGGTCCCTCCGGATCCCCGGGGTCCAGCCCAGATTGACAATGGAGTTTGTAACTATATATTTTTAATAAAGTATATGGTCCATTAGGGGTAGGCTGATTGAAGATGACAAGCGGAAGAGAAGAGATAGAGTGAGAGAGAGAGACCAACATGATGTGAGTGTGTCTGTGTGTGGTACGTATGTGTCCCTTTCTGAGACACTGACCCTTGGAGGGGACTTTACTGCCTGCCATTCTCCTTCCTGGGATCCAATGGGAGAGATCCCCAGCAGGCTTCAGAGGACCTGGGCTTTGCTACTTAACAGCTGTATGGCTGCCAGCAAGTTGCCCATCTGCTCTTGGCCTCAGTTTCACCATCCATAGAATGGGATGAGCCACTGCTCCCTCCTGAGAGATGATGGGCAGGAAAGCCCTGTGTGGATGTCAGCTAACCCTCTGTAACCAGGGGGAAGTGGGGAAGGCCTGCCTGGTTACATCTACACACAGGCACACACTCCAGGCTGGGCTGATGAATTTGCCCTCAGGACACTGGTGGGAAGCTGGGAAACCTGGTCCTAGTCAGACTTGGTCTCCATTTCACTGTAGGTGGGACTTGGGGTGAGTCCCTCCATTTCTCTGGGCTTCAGTTAGCCTGTGCTGTGCAACAAGCCACTCTGAAACCTAGACCACAGTGCCATATTCTTTCTGGAGCTTCTGTGGGTGGATTTGCCTGGTTTCTCTGGGCTCCCTCCAACAGCCATGGAATGTCAGGTAGGCTGTACCATCCAAGATGGCCTCACCCATCAGGTAGTTGGTCTGGCTGTCAGCCCGGGCCTCCCTTCTTCTAAATTCCTTCATGGCATCTCAGGGCAGCAACCTAAGAGACACGAAGGCAGAAGCTACAAGGTCTCCTGAGCCAGGCTTCGAACTTGACATCATCTCCACTGCATTCTATTGGCCAATGAGGTCACGAAGGCAGCCCAGATTCAAAGGGTGAGAAATCCAACTCCAGCCTTTGGAAGCATGGTAGAGCCACATGGCAAAGGGTGTCCACACTGGGGCAGCATTGTGGCCATACTTGGTAGTCGATCACAGAACATTTCAATTTTGAGAGCTACTCCAGCTCTACCTCTAGTCTAGGTGCCAGCTGTGTACCCAACAGTCAAGGTGTAAGGAAGCAGAGGGAACCCTCGCTGTTCCCAGGAATCTTCTAGGTAAAAGGTGCCACTACCTCAGGAAACACAGGCAACTAGCAGGCAAGCTCACCTACTGTGAAGTGCTGTGAGCTGCTTTGTGAATAATGACACTTCACCAGCATTGGCAACGTGGCTGCCATTCAGGTAAAACATTGTGCATCCAACATGCTTTAACAGTTTGTTTGTTTTTTTAAGATTTTCTCAATCTATTCATGTGAAACACAAAGAGGGAGGCAGAGACATAGGCAGAGACAGAAACCGGTTCCCCACAGGGAGCCCGATGCAGGACTCAATCCCAGGACCCCGGGGCCATGACCTGAACCAAAGGCAGACGCTCAACCACTGAGCCACCCAGGTGCCCCTGATTTAACAGTTTAACAAGAGAACCTGAGGCCTCTGTCCTGGAGAAAGAAGCTAGCCTGGGGTCCAAATCCCTCAACAAATAACTTGTCCTAATGCCTCCCTTCACATGACACCCTTCATTCACCGAACTCTTACGAAATGCCAAGAAACAGGTAGATAAGGATTGTGGTCTCCATCTTCCTGGAGACCTGGGAACTAAGGGGCTGACTTGAACCAAGGTGGAGCCTGGCAGAGGCTAGGAGGCCTGCTTCCCTTCCAATCACACTCTCCCAGGCAGGGGCTATGTGAGAGGCAGGGCTGCCCCCACCCAGACTCCCCAGAGTGCACCTGTGGCCTTCAAGGGCTCCCGAAGGGCCTTCGGGAACCACTGGGCAAGATAAAACTCAGTTTCGCAGATGCCCAAGCTCTCAGAGGGGCCTTGTGTGCCCTTGGGCCAGGGGAGAGCACCCCGGGTCTCCCGTCCCACACAACTGGTCAGAGATGTCCCACCATCCAGTCCTCCCCACCTTCATCGCCTCTGGCCAACCTCATTCCCAGTGATGCTTTGGCGCCTGGGTGACCAGCAGTAACTAGAGACCTCAGACTCAGGCACCCTTGGACTCAGAATCTTTGACCAGGAAGGCGTCTTAGAGGTTAACCAGAGGGTATGACCTGGAGGAGACAGGATAAGCAAGTTCTGACAAGGGCTGGAAAAGCAAGGACTTTCTGGGGTGCCAGGGAGGAGTGCAAGCCTGGGCACTGGAGGGCGGGCGGGAGGGGCCACAGGTGCCAGAGCCCAGAGGCAGGGGGGGCAGGGGGGCGGGCCCGGGGGAGGGGCCACAGGCTTGGAGCCCAGAGGCAGCACCAAGCTGCAGGGAGGCTCCAGGGCCACGCTGGCTGCCTGCAAACCCTGCTCGCTCTGCTCTGTGCTGACTCACCTTCCCTCTCCCACCTGTTCCCCTTTCTCAGCCCTCCCACCTGCCTTCCCCCCCTGCTCGCTGGCTGGCAGCTCCTCTGATCTCTTTCAGGGGCTCCTTGGCGGCGCTGAAATGGGTGGGGGTGTCCGTTGTATCTGAGGTGGAGGAGCCTCAGGTGTCACGGAGCCTGGAATCACGGAAGCGGGCTGGCTGAAGGAGAGCTGCTGGCCCTCCCTCACCGCACCCCATCTTCCCAGCCGCAGCTTCCCTCCCCTCCCCTGCACCCCCCACGTCCCCCCTTCAGTCACAGCCTCGGGGGAGTGGTGGGCGGCCGGGAGGGAAGGAAGGAAGGAGGGGGTATCAAGTGGGAGAAAGGAAGAGAAGTGGGGGCTGGGGGGTTCGGAGGGTGTGGTCTAATGAAGCTGAAAACCTCCCCCTCATCTTGCCTCCAGTCCCACCCTTCAGGCATCATTCCTGTAGGATCCTCTTTGCTTCCTTCCCGCCAGCTCCTGGAAAACCTGTTCCTTACCTACTCGGCTCAGCTGTTTCACCTGGTCAGACTCCCACCTTATCCTTGCTGGTCCATAGTTAGATCACCGGCTGTGACGGGGGTGGGGGCCCTTCTGCCTTCGTCTGGCTTTTCTCACCACACCTTTTTATGGGGACTGACTTTTCTTAGTATTGATGGAGTCTCCATATTTTCCATTTTTAATGACTACATGATGTTCATAAAAATCCTAGAACTCAGAAGGGCCTAGGCCTGGGGGCCTAGGCCTGGGGGCTCAGTCGGCTAGGCATCCCACTCTTGGTTTCGGCTCAGGTTATGATCTCATGGTTGTGGGGTCGAGCCCTTCACCGGGCTCCATGCTCAGCATATAGTCTGCTTCTCCCACTCCCTCCCCCTCTGCCTCCCTCCCTGCTCCCACACATGACCTCTCTCTCTCTCTCTCTCTTTCAAATAAATAAATAAAATCTTAAAAAAAAAAAAAGTCCTAGACCTCAGCAGGACAAACCCTCACAGGTGGGCCTAGAGGGGAGTAACCCTGAGCCCCATTGTCCTGGACCCCAGCCCAGTGGCTTCCCACTACTGCACAGAGGACCAGCTACATAGCTTGCGGGATCTGCTGCAAAATGAAAATAGGTGTCCCTTGTTCCAAAGTTGGGGAAACCCAAAATATAAAGATTTTTCCTTTCTTCAGATTACCTCCTCTGCTGAGTGTGCCCCAGCGTCCTGTTGGACTTCACTTAACAAAACACAAGCTCAAAGATAAAATTAAGAATTTTAAGACAGAGCCTACAGGGCATTAAACCCAGCCTTGGTCCCTCCGGTGAAGCCAGCCCTCTGACAGCTCTGCCAGCGGCCCCTTCCCCTGCAGCGCCAGGATGAATGCAGCTCTTCCCCACCATACATGATGCTGCGATCCACATCTTCGTACGGTTTGTTTTGTTGTTTTACTTGCTTTTCTCCTTGTGGCTGTTTGCTCAGATGAAGGGCTAACAGAATTCTGGGCCATGTTTGCCAGACCGTCTCCAAATGCCACCCGGCATCGGAATCTTTCCACAAGGACAACATAAAGCCAAGTTCTAGGCAAAGGGGAGAGGTTTCAAAACCAAGCTCCCCTTCCACAGCTGCTGAGGGAAGAAGCTTCCACAGCTACCATAGCTCCTGCGATGGGGAGGGGGGACGCAGACGAGGAGCGATGCTGGTCGTGGGGCACGGCAATGACACCAGGGCAGGAGCCAAGAGCAGAGAGAGACATGCATGTGCATATTTATTGAGAGGAAAGAGCGCAGGTATGAGAGATGAAGGGTCTTAGGTTTGAATTCTGCCTCCACTACAGACAAGCTGTGTGACTTTGGGCAAGTTGATGATGTCTCTGAACCTGTGTCCTGATCTGTAAAAAAAAGGGGGGGACCATGTATATCTCTCTCACATGCTGCATGGACTAAATGAGATCCCATGTGTGACCAGGCCCGGCATGATGTTGGGCACATCAGTGGACCCAAATAAATGTGAGTTCCCTTCCAAGGAGAGCTTTCATGGGTTTACCATATGAGACACAGTTTGAAAACTGACCTCTGAGCTTCCCGGCAGCCTTGCAAAAAAGGAAATCAGATCACCTAGTGCTCAGTATATGAAGAGCAGGAAGCCAGAGAAAGAGCGTGGGTTCTGACTTACTGTGTGTCCTTGGTAATCTCTTCCCTTCTCTGAACCTCATTTTCC